TCTCTCTCACTGGACCTTCTATCCTAACCTTTCCTGCCATCTGTGCTGTATCAAAGGGTAGATCTGAAAGGCTGGTGTAAGGTTGGTATGCAGGTGTGCGGTGGCAGTCAGGCACCACCTAGGTCTCCAGCCTACCCCAGGCTCACGGCATTAACAAACCTTTTCTTCACTCTTTTTACTCTGGCTGGGGGCACACTAATAGTTGGACCATAGAGGGCCACTTCTAAGTGGCTGAGACCTCAGTTCTTACTCTTTAAATCTGATACAGAGTATCATCTGTGGACCGTTGGGCCAATCCACCTTAATGACCCTGAGACTGTAGTTCTGAGCCCCCAAGCCCAGTGACTATTGTCAAGGTGTCTGGTTATGGTGAAGAAATTTCCATTGACCTTCCTACCAAGACGGCGCCGAAAGCGAAGAAGGAAGCCCCTACGCCTCCCAAACTAAAGCCAAAACAAAGGCATTAAAGGCCAAGAAAGCATCCTGATGGGCATCCACAGCCCCCCCCCCAAAAAAGATCAGCATGTCACCCACCTTCCAGCAGCCTAAGACGCTAATACTCCGAAGTCAGCCCCAGAAAAGTGTCCCCAGGAGAAACAAGCTTGACCACTATGCTGTCATCAAGTTTCCCTGACCACTGAGTCAGCCATGAAGAAGACCTAAGATAACAACACACTGTGTCCATTCACATTGTCTTTCATGCATCCCCATACACTGCATTTTATCAAACCAACCACCACTGATCTGTGCCCTCTGTCACTCTTTTCAGGTCCCCACCGGATCTTTTCTAATTTCTTCCCCTCCTTCCCCCCCTCCCCTGACTCTTCCTCCCCCCAGGTCCCCTGTCCCCTTCCCTTTTGGACTTTTCTACACACTTACTAGGCGTCTACTTCTAGCCCTTTATTTCCCGGGCAGGACCTAGACCCAGCGCCGCCCCCGCGTCCCGCCCCGGCTGGGGGGAGGGCCCTGCAGAGGCCGGCTTGGCTGCGCCCCCCGCGGGGAGCAAGTGCAGGGGTGGGACGTCTGCGTCAGCCTCAGCCGTCGGAGGGCCAGGCGCATATAAGGGAGGCGGCCAGGCAGGCGGCCTGAGCTCCATCCAGCGCGCCTTCCCTCGCCCGCCCGCGCTTGCAGCCTCCCCGGGCTGCCAGGTGAAGCCTCCGCGGACTGCCAGGTGAAGCCTCTCTGGGCTGCCAGGTGAATTCTCCTGGGGCTGCCAGGTGAATCCTCCCGGGGCTGCCAGGCGAAGCCTCCGCGGACTGCCAGGTGAGGTTGCCTGTCCTTGACCCAGCCGCGCCTTGCCTGTGGGTCTCCCTGCCATTCACCTTCAGTCAGGAGGTGACCTTTGTAAATGCCCTAAGAGCAGCCCTGGCTTTGTGGCCTGTTTTGCAACTTAATTAATCCAAGAGTGGGCGCAGGACCCCTGGAGCCCAGCCAGGCACGTGCAGTCACTTCCCTGGCTCAGTCCCCTGGGTCTGTCTGTGGTCCTGTGGACACGCGTGTGTGCGTGCAGAGAGAGAAGAGGTGTATGGATATGCATGTGTGTGTGCTCAGAGAGAGAAGGTCTGTGTCTGGGATGCTGAGAAGAAAGGCGGGGGGGAGGGGGGGTTGTGGCTGGGAAAATGAAGAGGACTCAGAGGTCTGAGAAGTGTGAGTACTAGAGTTCAATCCTTCCCAAACTTTCTGGGAGTGATTTGCATATTGGAAGGTAACTGGTCCTGCTGGCCACAAAAGTCGTCTTTGCTTGCCAACAAGTGCAATTTGAGGGACTCTTGTTGGAAGTGAATGAATGGAGTTCTCCCCACAGGTAGGTCTTAGATGGCCTGGTAGGTGGGAGTGCCCACTGCAGGTCTCCCAGGTGGCACAGTGGTAAATGCTGGGCTGAGACAGGACAGGTGAGTACTGGAATCCCCAGACATGTGGGGAGACAGCCATGACATCTGCTCCTGTCCAAGTGAACTACCCACCACAAAGCATCAGAGAGGGCTGCCCCGAGGGCCCAGTGGTCATGGGTTTGGTGGAAGCACACTGCCCTCTCTTTCCCCCATGGGACACCAGGGCTTAGGCCAACTGGCTTTTCGGATAAGATACAAGTGTTTAATTAGCACACCACCAGGGCCTTGTGATGGAGCAGCTCTCCTCAGTCCTGCAGGGCTGGTGGAGTTTGAACTGACCTGACAGAGGTAGACTTGGTCTTTGTGGGGTTTAGTAACTTTTATGCGTTGTTCTTACTGATGTCAGAATTGTCATGGCTCCCATTCTGTGTGTTCTGTTTCCATAGGTCTAGCTGCTCTCTTCCCGGGTTCCCTCTTCTTTACTTTGGTTAACTGTTAATCTTTCCTATTTTTTCCTCTGCTTATAGATGTAACAGGAAATTGTCAGATTGTGTTCTTACATTCTTCTCAGGGTCTGTGGCTGAAGTTTCAGGACTGTTTTCCTTTGGAGACAGAAGTATGTGTGTGCGCAGGCACGAGGATGCAGGCTCAGCGGTGGGGTGAACCTCGGTGTTGCTAAAGAGCTGCATGGATCAGCGTTCCCTGTCCTTTGCTGTTGTTGTAACAGCCCCGTGAGATACACGAGATGGTGACTCACTTGACAAATAACAGACTACTGACACTTTGTGACACTTTGTTGCACTTTTACTTTTTAAGGATTCTGCTTGGAGTCAGACAGACGGTGGATCTGATTTTGTGGATAACTGAGTTCAATTAACTCTGTTTCAGCCTCGGCACGGGGGTCTGACTGGCCAGAACTTTGAAATTCACTTTTCGAGCAGAGCTCAACTTTTCCAGGACTGGCAATTTCACAGCTGTCTCTGGGGAAGATGTTTTTAATAAAAGATGACCTGGAACTCAGCTAGGACGTCGCTGACACCCCACATCTGCTCAGCAGTGAAGGGACATGGGCAGGGCCTGCCAGGTTTCCTACCCTCTGTTCCTTTAAAACCACTTGGGGGCTCTTGTGTGCCAGATGCAGGTGTGAGCACACTTCATCTAACTTCCTACAAAACCTTTGAACAGACCCCACTAATGTTATACTTACTGCTACTTGATCCCAAAACCGTCAGAAAGTGCATTCAGAATGCTCACGCATCTGTGGTATTTGCTGTCAAGTCGGTTCTGAATCAGAGACCTTTCATCTGGTTTCCAAGGCGGTGAATCTTAACAGGAGACTTCCATCTTGCTCCGATGGAGGGGCTGGTGGGCCTGAACTGCTGGTCTTTCCCTTAGCAGCCCTATATGGTCCTCACTTGATCACCATGACCCTTTCTGTTAGATTACGTTCTGTGTTTTACAGATATTAATTGGCCTCTTTTATCTCCCTGACAGCCCTACAAGGCAGACATTCTTCATGGGTGTTTCCAATCTGTAGATGAGGAAACTGAGGTACAAATGTGTTAAGCATTGTGCCCCAGGTTGGACAGATGGCCATGACCACTGTGCCTCCCACCACAATGTAGTTCAAGTTCAACACATGGCTGGTTAGAGCTTCATGCATCCACGGTGGTGTAACCCAGCTCTCCGTTTGAGAGGGGCCTTAGGCTCAGGGTGGGGGGGACCTACTTCCTGGGAGGATTGTCCCCAGCTTCTGAGAGGGGTGCGCCCCCTGACCAAATGTTTTTAGGGAGGAATCTTTTTGGTTTTCTTGAAGCGTGAGAAGACAGTTCTGACTGTGGGTGGGGTGAGGTTCACGTTTTAGCTTGGGATTGGAAGGAGGCCATCTCCACGTCCCTGCGGGTGCCTGGAGAAGGGGGGACCCACCTTCCCTGAGTCCAGCAGGGGTTAACCCTGCCGCCTGGCTCCTGTCCAGGCTTCAGCTCAACTCTGGACCTAATACTGTCGGACCACGCCAACTCACAATCCTCGAGAATGGAAAAACAGGCCTGGAGGAAAATAGAAACGCAGGGTAAAATGCCTGCTAAGTAAAACGGTATGTGTCTCCTAAGTCTGGCACAGCAAGTTCAGTTGACTTCTTACTTTCAAACGTGGTCGATGTTTACTTTATTTAATTAAGTTATGCGTTACTTTTTTCCCTTGGATATTTACATAAAATGCCTTATTGGGTTATTTTTCATGAGGGTGGAGTTTTGTTGTGTTTATTTCAATTTAAACTTCCTGGGTCAAAGCCCCTGCCTATTCTGCTTATTGGCCACATGGCTCTGGCCAAGACTTAACTACAGACCCTGCACTTGCTCATCTGTAGAATGGGTACGACACTGCTGGCTTCATGTGTCATCTTCAAGACTGACTAGTGCGTGTGTTGGAATGTAATCTGCACAGAGCTTGTCAGTAAGTAGCAGCCCGGTGAGCTGGACCTACAGCTGGAAGAAGCTAATTGGAAAAGCACATTTTTTTGTCTAAGTTTCAGGTTTCCAGAAATCCATTGGTTTCTGGTTTCCATTCATATCTAGTTTTAAACCACCCTCTCTGGTGGTGGTGTGGGTGCCCCGGTAGATAAGGAGCTGTGTTGTCGATCTGGAGGCAGGCAGTTTAAACGCCACCTGCTCCGGGGAAAGTCTGCATCTCCTCCTGTGCCACTTCCAGCCTTTGCTGGAGCGTTAGCTGTGAGCTGGTTCTAATTCAATGGTGAGGAGTTTGATGTGTTCTTGAGACTTGTAGACATGGCAGTGGCGGCTCAGTGGTAAAAGGCTCACCTTGCACACAGGAGACCCAGGCTTGTTTCCCTGCAGGCATCCCCTGCCCACCCAGTCTGCCCTGTCCAGGGGTCTTGCGCTGCTGAGATGCTGAACACCCTTGTGTGGACCTTTCAGATGAAAGTGGGTGAGGAAGAAAGGCAGACGACCTTCTGAAAATCAATGCACAGAAACCCTGGGCCACAGTGGGCTGACCCACAGCCATCACGGGGCTGGGTGGGAGTGGGCTTGTTGATCCGGCCTACATGGGGTCACCGCGCATCAGTGACTCGCCAGCAGCAGTGACTGTTGTCAAGCATCACTGTGCACTTAAAACTGACCAGGGCTTGATCCTTTCCTAGGAGACAAGATGCTGTGGAGGCTGACGCTGCTGGCTCTGTGGGCGTCCACTGCACACGGTGAGTGAGGAGTGCGGGAGCTGGACACACCTGCCTGGCGAGAACTTGGGCATTGTTTCCTAGTACAGTGTGTGGTGACTTTTTGAGTACATGGAATGTGAAATGATTGCTTAGGAATAATTCAGATAGTAGAGAAAAATACCTTATACTTTGCTCTGCTGGCCTAGTGGTAAGAAGCTCTGCTGCAATCCTGAAGGCACGAGGTTCAAATCGACCAGTTGTTCTGCAGGAGAAAGATGTGCTGTCTCCTCCCATGAGATTTACTGCCTCTGAAAACCTGTTGGAGAGTCAGCTATTGCTTGGTTCCAACTTGACAATCCCACTTAGATATATCTTTTTCTTTGCACATTTTAGGTTTTAAGATCTATTTTTTTCTAACTTAACATATATCATAAATATTCTGCCATGTGTTTATTTTCCTGTGCATCATTTTTAATGGCTATATAGCATTCTATTGAAGCAGAAACTCCAATTGTTATTGTTGTTATGTGCCACTGAGTTGCCTGTTACCCTTCCAACAATAACTCTGACCCCTGCCCTACTGTGAGCCGGTCCCATTGACTCTGACACACCTAACCTTAATACCCCAGTTACTGTGTCAACCCGTCACATCCAGGGTCTTCCACTCTTATGCTGTCCCTCCACCTTTCCAAATATGATGTCCTTCTCCAAGGACTGGTTCTTCCTGGCATACTATGGGCATGTGAAACAGACCTTCAAAATCCTTGCCTCCAAGGAGCAACTTGGTTTACCCCTGTCCAGGACAGACCTGTTTGTTCTCTTGGAAGTACATGGTATGTTCAATACTCTTCTCCAGCACCACAACTCAAAGACATCAGTGCTTCTTCTATGATTGTTAGTCATTGTCTACCTCTCCAATGCATAGCAAGTAATTGTGAAGACCCTGGCCTGGATCAGGCACACCTTAGTCTCCAGACTGATATCATTGCTCTTTAGTACTCTGGGGAAGTCCCTGACAGCAGATTTTCCTAATGTAATTAATCTCTTGATTTCCTGACTGCTGGTGTCAAGAATGTTGATTGAAGAACTAGGAAGCTGTAATTGTTAACATCCTCAATCTCTTCTGCCATCTATCATGGTGCTGCTAATTGGCCCAGTGGTGAGAATCTTTGTATTTGATTTTGAGCTTCACTCCATTTTAAAGACTTCAGTCCGTGACCTGCTTCAGTGAACACTTCAGGTTCTCCTCAGTTTTGGTAAGCAAGGTTGTGTTATCTGCATATCATAGGTTCCTCTGATTCTGATGTCCCATTCTTCCTTATAAACACCAGCCTCCTGAATGATCTGTTCTGCATATAGATTGGAAAAAGTATGGAGAAAGGATGCATCCCTGATGCATCAAATCCTGATTTTGAACCAGGCAATGTTTCTTTGCTTTGTTAGGACAACTGCTTCCTGGTCCAAGTATATGTTTCACATTAGGACAGTCAAATGTTCTGGGATTCCCATTCTTCTCAAGGTTAGTCACAATTTGATCCACACAAATACCTTTGCATAGTCAATTAACACAGTCAAATGCCTTTACATAGTCAATGAAACCCTCTCTACTTTTGCCAAGATCCATCTGACATTGGCGATAATGTTCCTAGAGCCATGACCTCTTCTAAACCCAGCTTGTATTTCTGGTAGTTCTCAGTTGACGTTTTTTGGTTTTGGATAATCTTCAGCAGGATTTTTCTTGAGTGTGATACTACTGATGTCATTCAATAGTTTCCACACTCTGTCAGATCATCTTTATTGGGGGGGGGCGGGGAGTAAGCATATCTCTTCCAATTAGTTGGCCAGGTAATTGTCCTCCAGATTTCTTGACACGACCTGGTAAACATGTCCACGTTGAACCCGTGTGTTGAACTATGTCAGTTGGTTTGCCATCCATTCCTGGGAACTTGCTTTTTGCAGATTCCTTCAGAGCAGTTTGACCTTCCTCTTTCATTACTGTTGCCTCTTGATCATATGTTACTTCCTGAAATTCTTCTGTGCCAGCCAATTCTTTTTGGTACAGTGACTCAATATACTCTTTCAATTTTCTTTTAATGCATCCTGGATAATTCAATATTCTGCCGATAGCATCCTTAAGTATTGCAGTTCATTCAGTTTCTTCACCTTAGGGAATGCTGAGTGAGTTCGACCCTTTTGGTTTTCTAACTCCAGGTCTTTGCCATTTCATTAAAATACTTTGCTTTGTGTTCCTGAGCTACCCTTTAAATCTTTTTATTCAGGTCCTTGACTTCTCAATTTCTTCCCTTTCCTTTGGCTTCTCAGTACTCTAGTGAATATTCAGATTCTCTTTTGACATCCATCTCGTTATTTTCTTCCTCCTCTCTGTCTTTATAATAACCTTTTGTGTTCTTCCTGAATATTTTTTATATCTTCCCACAGCTCATATAATCTTCGTTTATTAACTTTCAAAGTCTCAAACCTGTTCTTTTTTTCTATAATTATATTTTATTAATTTTCATAAAAATTTA